TTTTGCCGCCCCCTTCTCATTCGTTTTGAAACATTAATAAGAACCATCACGTGAACGTGCCGGAGGGGGAGGGGTGCATAAGACGCGTTTACCTACTCGATGTTGGGTACATTTTTTGCGGAGGCCCTGTCAACACTGCTAGCAAAATTTCACGGAGCTTTGTGGGAAAGTTAAGTTCCGTAAATCTATATCTGTGTGAACAAAGTCCTCCACCTATAAGAAATGAAACCAAAAAATTATAAAAGAACAAACATAAATGTGGTTTAATAATTTTAACTTCCGCCTCCGTGCCGCGCTGACCGCACTGTGTTTGGCGCAATGCGTGAAGTATTCATGCAGTCTTGTAGGCGCTATGCGATTCACGCTGATCGCACTGTGTTTGACGCAATACGTGAAGTATTCATGCAGTCTTGTAGGCGCTATGCGATTCACGCTGATCGCACTGTGTTTGACGCAATGCGTGAAGTATTCATGCAGTCTTATAGGCGCTAACATGTGTTACATGCCGACCGCCGCGCCGAGGCGAGGGCTTGTCTTTTTCATCTCAAGTCCTCGTCATCATTCCTCTCTGCGCTAAGCTCCAGGCTGAATTGCGTGTTTAGTTGCTCTCTTACCTCGACTAATTGAAGATGATGTCTCTTGTTTCACCTAAAAACGACAAAATTAGAAATTACTATATTCTCAGGAAAGAGAGATTTTGTCCCCTTTTCTCATTGATTATTTGTTTTTCATGAATCCGATTTTTTTAATACCTACATTTAAAACAATTGCAAAATTTGCCGCCATGGGCCTTGGCCCATGTGGCCGCCCCCGTAATCCGGCCCTGATCTCAGGGTGGCATAAAACATGCGAAAGATATGAAACATTGGAGATGCCCGTGAAATATTTTTGGTCATTTCACGGGCCTGTAAAACTAATGAAATGTATTACATTTTTATCAAACTTATTTTTTAGGGGCTACGTATTTATAACCCGCACTTGCCTGATAAAAATGCAAATGAAATGTGAAGACTTCTGAGGAAAACTCATAAAAATTATCAAGACAGTTTGAGGTTTATCAGGCAAAATGTGGCAACGTCTGGTTATTCATACGTTGTTTCAGCTAAACACTGCACACTGAGGACCTCCTTGCACTTACCTCCTTATTTGGGAAGTTCAACGTCATGAAGATAAATACAGAAAAGAAAAACGATCAAAAATTTTACAGCAAAAAACATGCATAAACCTTCAATAACCCAAGAAAAATTTAATAACCAATAATTTTTGAAGCAAAGCAAAATTTTGTTGTTCCAACGGGCGGCGGATCGATCTCGTTTTACTGATAACAATCTGGTCTTACAATCAGTCTCTTACTCTGCCGTGCTAAGGAAAAACGACGTATAAACATTCGAGAGCTGCCAAATTTCCTTCGATAACATGTTTATTTTTGCGGAAATTTATGCATATTCTTCCTCGAAATTTTCAAATGTTTTAGATTAAATCGTTAACAAATTCGTCTGAAAAATTTGATGTAAAATATTCACAATTTTCCAAGTAAATTCGTTTTTTATTGAAAGAAACATGGCAACATCTGAAGGTTTATGCGGCGTTTTTCCTTAGCATGGCAGTACTGTATATGATCAGACATAAAAAGTGGTGTTCAGACACATGTTAGAGTTTTTTCTAGGCACAGGATACAACCATCGAGCACAAACCCGCAAATCTAAATCTTAACAGGCGTATTACTGACCCGCGCACGCAATCATTTTTAAAACCCTTCACTTTTTTGCACTTTTTCAGTTTCGTTCAATATCGAACCGCCAACGCTACACAATTTCAGTTCCGTCTACTTTTAGGCACGCCAGTGTCTTACAAGTATTTCAGGTATCACGATTTGGCAACAAAGTAAACCTTGCTCGCTGAAAATTTGATCAATTGTGATAAATACTCTAACCAGAATTAGTCGAACTGAATTTCAGATTGCCTTATTTTCTCTCAAATTTTTCAGTTTTTAACAGAGAATCAAACGACATAACGCCTTGAATTTTTTTGCACAGTTCCGCTGGCTTACGCTGGACATTTTCACAAATTTTCAACTCAAATATTGATTAATTCCCTTTTCCAAAAAAAAAAAAAAAAAATTGAAAGGACATCAGACAACGCCTGATGTAGTCAAGCTGATTCAATTTAGATCCGTCCAATTCATTTCGGCGTTTTTTATGAACTTTTGGGAAAGCTTGCGGAAATTGGATTTTTTTTTTTAAAAAAAAACATTTGATCAAGCATGAAAAGTTTATTCAAAAGCCAAACCATCAGAATGCTTCATATAACTATATCATGGAACACGTCATGTTTGTCGAGGTTTGATACAAACCTGAAAATTATCACTAATATGATGAAACTTGGAACTAATTTCAGAAAATTCAGAAAAAATACTTGGAGGTATTCGACAACGTTTCATAAGTCTCAATTCCACTCCGTGCCTAGGCAAAGCCGGCTAAGAGCACAGCGCATCTGCGCATTGGGCAACATTTTGCGGAGTGTAAGTATAAGGAGACATTTTGTAAACAATTTAAGATACTGGGGGGTACGCCCCCTAATAGCTTCGCCTTTTCAACCCCTCGAAGCGCTTCGCGCTCCCCAGACGTTAAGCGTTACTCTTTAATGATTATACTAGAGAATATCGTCGTCTCTCTGACGTAAGGGCGTATCTTGATTTCTGCATGAGCCCCAGAAAGCATGGGTTTATATGTAAAACAGGGCTCATGAAGAATTCGAGATACGCTCTTACGTTAAAGGAACGACGATATGACATGATGTGTATGCTGCCGTGCCGAGGAAAAACGCCAAATGAGCATTCGAGAGTTGCCAAATTTCCGTAGATAAAATCTTTATTTTTGCGGAAATTTATGCATATTTTTCCTGGAAATTTTCAAATGTTTTAGATTAAATCGTTAACAAATTTGTCTGAAAAATTCTATGTAAAATGTTCACAATTTTCCAAGTAAATTCGTTTTTTATTGAATGAAACTCGGCAACATCTGAAGATTTATACGGCGTTTTTCCTTAGTACGGCAGTACTGTATATGATCAGACATAAAAAGTTGCCAAATTTCCGTCGATAAAATCTTCATTTTTCAGGAAAGCTACAAATATTTTACCTTGAAATTTTTAGGAACTTTAGGTGAAATTGCGAACAAAATAATGTGAAAAATTGCAAGAAAAACAATCGTACGTTTTCTCGAAAATTCCTGTTTTATTAAAAGAAATTTGGCAACGCGTGAAGGTTCATACGGCGTTTTTCCTTAGTACAGGAGCATGGTTCATCCTATTACCATACGTACCATGTCCACCTGTACCACCACTATCACCGTCCCGCTACCAGCATTACCAGCCCAAAATGCCTCTATCACCACCTACTCTGGTTAGATAACTTAACCCTGAAAGATATCGACGGTGCAACTCCCGAACCATGTATCTCGTTTGGGGTGTTAAAAAATCACCACTCTTGGTTTATTTTTTTACAGGAGAGCAAATCAACACTTCTCCTTGAAATTTTCTCAGTTTTTATGAATTGACTCAGTGTAGTAAAAATCGAAGTATGACAAGAGGTTTGCAACGTTGCGAACCGAGATACGTGGTTTGGGAGTTACATCATCGACATGCGTTTGTGGGTCATGAGGTCCAGTTCTCAACACAGCAATGAAGAATATTTCTACATCTACTGGCCATAAAAGCGCTTAGCATGCTTCCAGAATTTTTCAATTTTTTTCATATTGATTTTAAAATTTTATCCCGGTTATTATCAACTCGAATGAGGCCAGGTGCCTGTGCGACTGAGCACTCATTTCTCACTCAACCTGTAACTCGACCTGATGAGTCCTTTTCGTGAGGGGGAAAAATTTGGGGCGAGAGATGGAAATGAAAATATTTTTTTTTTTAACATTCAAGGAGCGTCAATGAGCGCATAAGGAATTTTATTACAAGTAGACGACGGAAGGCCCTTCCGTCGGAAGGGTGTGCAAATAGACTACTAGACAAGGTAAGAATTTGAGCAATCTGATACATGTTTCTCAATTAGAATTTCACGTAGAACACGATTCGCACAACGAAAATTACTGAAACCAACTCCTAACGAAGATATTAACGTTTTTATTTCTCATTGGCTACGAGGAATTTGAACTGCCCGCTCACAAGAAACTCAAAGCTCTACGTCCGTCAAATCGTGCACTACATCGGTTTCAGCAAGCTTCTCAATCGAGCAATGTTTATTTCCCACCATGTGTCGTTCAAACTATTAGCAATTTGCTATAGCTGAGCCAAAGCGTCAAGATTGAGGTTGTCAGATTTTTATATCGCAGAGACTGTCATGATAACGTTTAGCGCGTGATGTGAATCACGTAGAGCATTGAGTTTTCATGAGCGGGTGGTTTGAATTCACGCATCAGGAATCATTAAATATCTTCGTAAGGAGTTGATTTCGGTAATTTTCAAGCAGACACCGCAAACGAGTTATGTGACTGCCGACTTCCACCGTCGATATGGAGCTTCATTGCGGTGCTACACAGGGGTGGAATGGCTCCAAATTCCTAGAGGGCGGGCCCCTCTGAAAACAGAATTAGGGGCCCCGAACGAAATGAGAATTGACCACCTAAAAAGANTTGGTTAAGAAGCATGTATCAGAATGCTGAAATTTGCACCTTGTCTAGTGGTCCATTTTGAGGAAAAACATTAACTTTTTTCACTTTAATTTTTTATTTTTTGCAACATCCCTTGAAAAAAAAATCGGAAGGACTCGCGAAGGAGCCACGCAATCTTGTATAAAAACCCAACTGTTTCTCACGGCCAATGTTTGTCGACTAGCGTGATGTCACCCCTGGTTGGTCACGATTTTTCCTCTCTTAGGCAAAAGTTATAATTATCGAGAGACCATTCCATACTCGGCAAGCAAATGCACTGCGCTCGAACTTGAACTTGGCGAGGCGAAGCACAGCGTGATGAGGAAAATCGGATTTATTTCCAAGTTCGATTTTTTTGCGCGCGAGTATATCGGCTCGCTTCTCTTCAATCATTTGTAGTTTCGGGCAGCTCATCACTTCCTGCATTTCCTCCATCGAGTCTCAGTCACTCTCGCGCCATTTTCAGTCGTACCACGATTCGTACATCCTTCTTCAGTGATCCGAGAGATAAAACATTTTGTAAGACAATTATCAGCATATTTCCAGAATTAATGCCAGTTTATTTTAAAACATTAGTTTATTTAGACATCGATCGACACAAGCTTAGGATTTTGGCAACTTGTTTTAAAAAAAAGTTTAGTAATAACTCGATTGAAATTTTTCCAGGACTGTCATCCGTTTATTTTAGAAGTTCACTTCAGTGGAATATCGATCAACAAGCGCTCAGGACTTCCATTAGTTTGTTTTTAAAAAAAGATCAGTTCAGTAATAAATCGATCAACCTATTTCAAGGATCTCTATTAGTTTTTGTTTTAAAGAGAATAAGTTTAGTAAGATACTGATCAACGCGTTCCCCGGATTTTAATTTGTTCAGAGGATTATTTAAGAAAGTTGAAGGATTATCAAGACTGCAAGATGACCCAGCTGCAGAGAGGAAGTTGGATCCAAGAAAAATTAGACATCCTTAAAAGTGAATTCATCGAAGGTGAGTTGGAAACGTATTTACCCCTTAGCTAAAAGATGTTTTTATTTCGACTGTCAAGTACAAAACCATGTATTTTCGTTTGCGACGTTGCAGATTTCCTGTCATACATTATTTTTTCATTGAAAAGCTAGTCAACGTATTTTCTTAAAAACTTCCTCGATTTTTCTCCCCTGTAAGTAAAATTGTCTGCATTTTTAAAACAAAAAGTTGCAATGAAAATTTTTCTCTAGAGATATTATTTTGACTTGAACGTCGCTTCTTGTCAATTTTTTTTTTTTTTTCAGTTCAATAAACTGGTTTTTTTCTATCGTTAAGTTTAACTAACGATAACAACACAACGTTTTTTTAAGTAAAAAACTGGTCTTTAGTTCAATCCGAACGGATCTAACTAAAAAAGCAAATTTTGACGAGAGGAATTGTCGCTTCAAGTCAAAATAATATAGCATAATAATGCATGGCTTGTTTCTCTCGAGATAAATAAAATAGGAGCAGACATTTTGAAACACTGCGAAGGAGATACGTCGTTCCGCACTTTAGCCATCGATTTGATTTATGAGCTTTCATTAGTGATTTTTTTTTTACTAGAAATGGAAGGTACTTGTGGACTTTGAAAAATATGGACATTTTTCCGGTGATCTTTGCAATTTTTTTTTTCAAATTAGAAAAATAAAATGGAAATATCGCATTATTCGACACTATTCTGATGCAAAGAGGAGGTTTTTTTCTTTTTATTTCATTTAGGCACAATAGGGCATGACAAAGATAGAATACCATCAGAACAGAGTTACAGAAAGCATTGGCCTAGCTTCAAATATCATAAGGTAATAACTATAGGGTTTCAAGATAAGATGATATGAACAATAATAAATGAGTCTTAACATATTTTTCTCACGCGATTGGGGTAATATATCGAAGGCCACGGTGCAAAACCACGTATCTCCGTTTGCAACGTTGCAGACTTCCTGTCATACTTCATAATTTATTTAGAAAACAAAATGAGTTGGGCACTGTGCATCAACAACATCAAAAATTTTTCTCGACGCTTTGACTACTCGCTCCCACCATATCAGGTCTCCTGTCACCTCTCAACCTTTAAAGGGGGTTGGGAGGGGGTGGAGTCAAGCAGCCATAGATCTTTCTCATCCCTAAGTAATTGATATCGTTTGTGCCCATTAGTGACGTCAGATTAAACGTAGGTATACGGCCGGATTCATATAGTTGTTTCATCAACAGCTCCTTTCCTCTGAGGTCCCTTATAATTTAATTTATAATTAAGGGAGATTTAAAGGAGATCCTTAATATAGTATCCGCATAACGACACTTTTTAACGACAATCCTATTAACGACAACTTTAGTGAAATTCTGTAAAAATACTCTTAAAACGAATCCCAACAAGGAATTAGAATGATTTGACATAACAAAAAGTACGAAATAAGGTAGGGAATGTATAGCAAGTTTTGTAAACTAGAGGACAGGTTTGCACCTATACCTTAAAATTTGTGAAAATCGAAGAATGATTTTTGCTCCCATATTTTGTACTTTTTGTGATGGCAGATCACTGATTCGGAATGAAAGGGTACGTGAAATAATGGGCGGCGAAAACAACATAGTGTATGACATTTTCACGAAACAACTTGTCTGGTATGCGCATACGCAAAGGATTCCAGATGATATGTTACCTAAGAAGGGTCTGGATTGGGTCCCCCCCCCCCGGCAGAAAACGTAGAGGACGCCCTGTTAAATCGTGGATTGAGGGAATAAGGCAGGAAATGTGGAGATGCGATCTGCCGGAGGAGCTCTGGCAAGAACGCTGTCAGTGGCGGTTGGGTGTCGCAGAGCGCACAGAAGCGCTATAAGAGCGACTTATTAGTAGTTAGTAGATCACTGTAATCCCTTTCAAGGATCCATTTTAAGATTGTCACTACTGAAATTCGCTCAAAGTATTCAACAATTTCCCTATTTATGGTGCTATGTTAAAGATTCCTCAAAGCTCCTTTAATTACGATGTATAATGCACGGCCTCGCAGGGATAGGAGCTGCTTAAGGTTTGACGGACGCCATTTTTTGTGTTGCAGAGCGACGTGCCATATATCGCATCGATTCGTTCCACGATTACAGCTACCTGTCATTCATTTCGAATTTTGAGATCGCAATTCTGTTGTCATGAGACCAAAGAATTTACGTACCAAATATGACGAAGAAATTCAACGTTAGAAAGGTCGGGTTTTTTTTAGAGGAGAAATATCGCATTGGATACTGATATCGAAATTGCACTCTAATGCGATATTTTTCCTCCAAAAAACCCTGCCTTTATTACGTTGAATTTCTTCGTCAAAGGTACGTGAATTCTTTAGTCTCATGACAACAGAAAAGCGATCTCAAAATTCGAAAAAAATGGCAATTAAATGAAATTATGGAACAAATCCATGTGTTATATAGCACGTCGCTCTGACACAAAAAATGGCAACCGTCGAATCACCTTAAAGGATGACTATGAATACCGTCCTATGCCGTAAAGCAGCCTCAAGTTATAATTTGGTTTAAAGAGACGGTTTTTTGTCGACAACTGAAACACAGCTCTTTCAAAATAACGCCACAATGATAGTTTTTTGCCGGTACTGAGGACTCATCTCCGGTAGACGGTTGAATTCAACAGGCAGTTGCCAAGCGTTACTGCAAAAAATTGGCGTCTGTGACTGAGGTTAAAGGTAGGTGTCAGCGACTCCGTCTTTCCGGTTGCGAATGATTTACCCATTCAAGGATCTCGGATGCCGCCAAGTGCTCGATGGACCAATGAGTCTTGCTCATGATCATTTTTTGAACGGAAATTTTTTGAAGAAGGAAAAACAGTCGTCTGAATTTCCGTTCCAAGTCCTAAAAATGGACTGCTTCACAAAAGGAGGAACTAATTTTTTTTGCCTCATCCTCAAAAACACCTACCTCCATCGAGTTACGGAGTTCTTGCATGCGTGAGGGATTTGCGATTTAAGTACTTTATCTTACGTAAAATTCCGCGAGAAACACGATGTTGCCACTAGTTTTCTCTGAAATTAACTCCGAGGCTCAAAAGAAGCTCTCAAAGTGAAGGCTGTAATGGAGGGTATATCCCATGCTACCCTGAGAGTCCACCTCTATGTCGAGAGAAACTCTATATGCAAAGATAGGGAGCAAATACATTAGCAGGGTCGGCGCATTTTCATTTTTGGAGTCCCTAAAAAAAGAGGCAGTCTTGTTAATGTTTTTTCTCCTTACCTTTGCATAGAGCGTTTGTCTTGATACAGAAGAGGACTCCCTGGGGTAGCGAGGGATATCCCCTCCATCACAGCCTTCACTTTGAGAGCTTTTTATGAGTTTTCGAGTTGATTTCAGAGAAAACCAGTGGCACCATCGTGTTTTTCGCAAAATTGTACTGGGAGCCAGTATTTTAATCGCAAATTCCTAACACATACAAGAGCACGATTAATGGGAAATTTAATTTTTCCATAATGAGCGAACNGGGGGGGGGGGGGGAGAAATACGGTTAAGGTTTTCAGCTGAAAGTGCCTGCAAGAGTTAGTAATATTGAAAGACACAACTCAAGGCTTGACATCAATAAAAGATTCGTTTCTCTAGGGAGAGTTCCACCATGAGCAGATTTTTAAGTGAGATAGTGCGATTGTTGGGCCCCTGAAACATTTTAACGATTATGTTTTTTACATTTTATTTTTTTAGATGATGTTGTGGACAACTGGTTCTTGATGAGTAGTACTTGGCCAATTGTGACTATTATCGGTGTATACTTATTCTTTTGTCTCAAATGGGGTCCCAAATATATGGAGGATAAAAAGCCTTTCGAAATGAAGTGGATATTGTTGGCATACAATTTATTTCAAGTTATTTTGAATGGAAACCTCGTATGGCAGGTATGTGGATACTTTTCTATATTTTGCCATTATATTTTCATGATGTAGATGACTGAAGTCGGAAAATGCGCATGCATTCAAGACAATAACGCTCCAAGTATGTTTCATTTTTTACAAAAAAAAAAAAAAAAAACTAAAGTATTTAATTTAAATTTTAAATCAACGTATTTAAAAGAGAGAAAGAAACTCACAAATAATTTCAATAAAAACTAATTGTTGGTTTTTTCATTGAAAATTTAAATTTAAAAGGAACTTTGCAACGACCCGCCCGGAAATACACGTTTTTCCTTCAATCATCGGTGTGGAGGAATTTAGCCGCCGGAGTTGACCGGGCACCCACCTTTTTTTACTGAGAGGAGATTCAATGTCTTATTTCAACTTTTTTTATCTAGATTTTTGAACGGACGAACTTCGGGTTTGTTCATTCATTGACCTTTGTCGATGTGTTTGAATATAAATCCCGACATTAAAATTAATTAAAACAGTAAATTTGATAACATTTTATCATACATTGTAAGCAAACTATTATCATCAAAACTCTGAGAAATTCTTATAAACAATTTCAAAAAAATAAAAAAAAAACAAATTTCATTCTCTTGGCCTCTGATTAGAGGGCTCCAAATCACGCGACTTTCGAATGAAGTGATGGCTCGTGGCCACCATATTAAAAACGCGGGGTTGGTTCATTCGTAAATTGTAAGAATAATTGGACTTCAGTTTGCAGTTAAGAACTATAATTTCTGGCTCATCCGGAAAAAACTCTTATGTGCATAGAGAAATTAATGGTACTTATGTTGTTTTTAAACTGAGCCGGAATTAATAGCCCCTAATTGCAAAATGTGGTCAAATTGTAAAGGTTTACTCGTGATTCTATATAAGTCTGAAATTTTCAGCTATTCACAACTCCTGGAAGTATGAGCTACGTCTCGAACCACGTGTGTAACCCTCTTGGAAAGAATAATCCACTCTTCATGTCTGTAAGTATGTCTATCTATATTGCTTTTTTTACAGGCATTTGTCTCAAGATATGGTAAAATTGATGCTATACCATTACAAATAAATTATTCCAGAAACATAATCTTGGATTTATTTTCAAGATCAGATCCTACGCTATCGATCAAGACCAGGATCATTTAATTTTCTTTAAAATATGCAACAATATGACAACTTTAATGAAATATGGAATATATTGTCGAATGAGAGTTTCCAATACACAATTTCATTTGTAAACATTTATCAGGGAATTTTCAATGATATTGCAGAGGTGATAATTGTATGAAATAGTGATAGGAAATTTGCATTATTGAGGGCAAAAGTATGTAAGACACAATTTAAAACACTTTGAATAACAACTTGACCTTTAAATAGATTTAGAGAGTAGCGTAGATGGAGATTATAGTTTGTAGACTTGAGATCCACGAATACATTCCTGTCAAAAATTCCTAAGTGATAGCATTTCCCTTCACTAAATTTTCATATCTTCGTCAATTTTTGAGGGGTTAAAATAGTCTTGGCTTTAATTGATATCTCTAGAATTGATCTCCTAAGTGAGATCAAGATTTTTGTCTTCGGCATCATCAGTTTTAAAAATGGCGGATTGCCTATTCGCCAATGGTCACCGGACAAGGTATGAATTTATTGAAAAACTACTTAAATATTTTTCGTCGTCAAAATCTCATGTAACAAGCGGTAAGTCCTATGGGAATTCTGGAATTCCAGTTCCAAGTGAAATATATTCATGTAAATTTTACACTAATCAAATGAAATCCAAGGCACACAAATGACTCTCTTGTGTTTATGCATTTGATGAACATGAATGGAAATACTTACATATTCTTTAGGAGTTGATCTCTATAAGAGATGATAATTGTATGGTCATCTCCAAGAGCTTGTTTGGAGGAGAAAGCACATAAGGAGTGCTGTGCCGTGCCAAGGAAGAACGCCGTACGAGCCATTTAGATGTTGCCAACTTTTCCCTAAAAAAATCACAAATTTTTAGGATAATGTTTGAATATTCTTCTTCTGATTTTTCAGAGAACTCCGTTCGCAATTAGATCTGAAAGGTCTGAGAATTTCAAGGAAAAATATTTATAACTTTCTTCCAAAGCAAATATTTTCCGGGAGGAAATTTGGCAACATTCGAATGTCCATACAGCGTTTTTACTTATAGCACGGCAGTGCAGTGGTGTGTGTCTCCTCTAGTTTCCCTCTATATGAACCGAATTAATCAACCATTGTGATAACGGATGTATTCTTTTAGGTTTGTTCTGGGTCCTGGAACTACCTCATGTTGAAAGTGACGGATCTGCTCGCAACGGTAAGAGCTTAGTTTTTAGGTTTATCGTGTTAAGACCCCATGCATTTTCCGGACCCTGATTAAAACAAAGAGACATAGAATTGATTTTACTGTATTCAAATCGCTCCGGTTTTTTGCCCATATTTTGATCAAACTATCAGTTGATATGAAATGATCATAGAAGAGCCGCGTGTAATATAATTTACAATGAAAAAAAAAACTGGAAAAAAAGTATTTTAGAAAAAATCTTCCTCACGATCTAGGAGCAACTGTGTAAGAACAGTTGAGAAAAAGCTAGGTTGTAAACATCAGAACAATCGATAACAGGTTTTATAACTGGCTCGGAGCACTTTCCGCTTTTTGCGCTTAAATTATGAAGATTTCACGACAGCGTTGCCGCGTTGGGCAAAACTTTTAATCAAACAAGCCATGCCTACTAACAATTTTTGTTTTGTTTTTACTTTTCATTAAAGATTTCTTATTACACAGAATTTATTCTTATATCTTTACGCAATATTTTCTGTGCTAATTACAATGGTTTGGAGTCTTTTGACTCTAAGACGAGAATGAAGCATCCCGAGGCAGGACGATCGAATTTTATAATATTTACCTGTAAAATGAACCTACAATAATTGATGATAACAATATATAATTTAGCGTCGAGATTATTACGATGTATCACAATGAACACATGATGTTTATGAATTGTGCGATTTAAGAATGTCTATGTTTCTACCCTTGCATTTAAGTCTCCGGGAAATAACATCTTGCCTCTTCATATAAAAACCGAATTTACTGCTCATTCAGCGATCTCAAGGGAGTAAAGACGCTATTGGCAGGTAGTGCTATATCAAAGAAGATAATTTTATGAAGGAACATCGAAATTCCAGTACAGACCTGCTGACAGAAAAAATCAAGCGTATAATCGCCAAAATCGAGAAATTAATATTTTCGTCAAAAACCTCTCTTGATATATCACAGCGAATAATGATCGAGCATATGGTGAAACTGCAGAAATGCGTATTTCGATTTGCGGCAATGCAGACTTTCTGCCATACATAACGTTTTACATAAAATACAACGAATCGTCATTTCTTGAAAACCTCGATACTTTCTTTCCTCCGTGCAAAGAATATTCTGTAAAAATTTCAAACCATCATGCTGGTTTGGTCTCCCTCTATAGGAAGTAAAACAGGAGTGGATATTTTGAAACACTGCCAAGCGAGATACGCATTTTCGCAGTTTCTCCGTCTGTATAAGTTACTCATCGCCTTAACCGAGAAATGCGAATAGTACGATGAATAGAGCAGATGGCGCAGACTATGACAATTTTACCTACTGCGAAACGTCACAAGTGCGGCCGTATGCCGAATCATTTTCCGTGTACATACTTTGCATGAAGTAAAGGAACATATCGCGCAGTAACTTTACGTAAAACGGGATCTCAGACTTTCCGCTCAAATTTCATGGAAGTTTTTGACCGTGAACAATATGAGCGAAAATGTCAAGAAATGTGCAGATAGCAGAGCCGCTGAAACCGCTGAAAGCGCAGGCAAAGATTGAATCATCAAAGGATGTCAATACTTCATGCAAATTTACATTGTGACATTTACAGAGAATAAAATGGATTTTTTCCTTGTTTCCCATAGGTATTCTTCGTTCTCAGGAAGAAACAATCTCAAATAAGCTTTCTTCATGTCTATCATCACACTCAGATGGTTTTCATAGCATGGGCTTACCTAAAATATCTGAAAGGTGAGTTCAGTTCATTTGAAAGAATTACGCTCTAGCGACTACTAGGGGGTCGGCCCCCTGGTCGCTTTGCGGCCTGACCCCCAGGACGCTTTCTACTCTTTTTATTCCCCTTCCTCATCCGGTCCATCGAGCGTCTTAAAAATGATTTTATTAGAATTTTCCCTTTCACAGACTTTGAACTCTAGCCCATCAAGCGTCTTAAAAACATGATTTTATTAGAATAGAGAGGATATGCCAACGCCCACCAGAGCTTACATCCGAAAAATAAAATTGAAAAAAAAGTAAATAATAAAATAATAATGACACCCGATTATAATGCTGACTCGTATCATCAGCACTCTCAGAGACGCGTTTCACTCAGAGTAGTAAAAAAACTTAAATTTTTCAAAATTGCCACTCAATTAACTCCCTACTAATTGCCACGAATTGTAATTAACTTACTCCAGCATCTTTACGACCCCTAATTGGACGTATTTCTGTTAAACAGAACTAAGCGCCAAATTGAGTTCCTTTTGAGGATTTTAGAATCCCGAATAGCGCGTTCTGTCAACTGGAACTAAGCCCCATGGACAAGGATTGCGAATATAGGACGGAACGAGCATCGCGTTCCGCAACACCCGCCAATCCAAGCCCCCCTCTCCCTTCTTCCCCTTATGGCGCTTAGTTCCGTTTGATACGTTCAATTCTGCATTACATTTCCAAGAAGGAGTTAGCCACTTTCTCACGAAGAGAAAAATAAAAATAAACACAAATAAACAAACAATCCTGAAACTTATTTGTAAAGTGAGGGCTATGAAAAGTCACCCACATATGTAGCTGTGACATTTTTAATTATGCCGCTATTTTCCTCCAGTAAATACGAAGCAATTCCTCCATATTTTCGGGCAGCGTATTTTCCCTTTAGACTGATTTTATTTTCCTAGCAAAATTTTTCTCACTCTTAGTATTTTCCCCGCCATTAACATATCTAAATTTTTCCTCTAACTCTCCCGCGAAGGACTCGTGACGTGAGCCACCGTGAGTCATGCTCTCCAACATTACGTCGCACAGCGGGCCGATTATTGAAATTGATAGACAAAGCTATAGACAAAGGAGACAAAAGGGATTTGGAGGGATCCTATCGGTGGAAGTGAGTGGTTACAATGGACAAAGGAGGCAGGTAACAGACGAAGTAACGGCAACTCGCACGAGGGACCCGATAGTTAGTCCATCATTTTCTCCTTTAGTCTATAAGAACCAACCATTTCAACCAATAAGATAGCTCCATACTCCCTATGTCTTCTTTGTCTATAGCCTTGTATATCAATTTCAATAATCAGGCCGCAGGGGACCGAGTCTTTAAGAGGGGTCGGACATGACATTTGTGACTCAAAATGTAAATTTTGATGTTTATTCCGTCACATTTCAAATTTTAAGTAGTGTTTCCGAAAAAAAATTTCACGAAAAAACCAATGGAGCCACTTTTAGACCTCAAAGTTTTGTATAAACGGTGTTATAAGCGTTTGAAAATTTGTCCGACCTCTCCTATTAACTTGATCCACTGTGCGTCAAGCTGATTCTTGATCATGTTTTGGACCCACAAAAAAGGCAGTGAATTGTTCCTTCAGCAAAATAGTGGTCTTTTACGCGCCACTCTTGAATTTGGAATTTCTGAGTCTCTCGTTGAATGAAACAAATACCTGCACAAAATTCAATTTTACTCGCGTGTTTCTAATGTGTTCGGGTGGTTTTTCGGTACTGTACAGTGAAAGTCACTCACGATTGATTGAAGTTTGCAAATTTACAGGCTCTCCAAAATTACTAAATTTGGACCGCGTTAAGCAGAAAGGAACCTAGCCACATCACCCATTGCCGAATTCAATTGAGCAATTTAATTTTTTACATGAAAAAGGTTGTGCGGATTTTTTTTATAAATTTCAGTGAATTCTCTGCATAATACAAAGAAATTCCTTAAAATTTTCGAAGGCATCCGCACAAACGTACTCCTGTAAAAAATCAAATTCCCCAATTAAGTTTGGCAATAGTTGATGTGACTTGGTTCCTTTCTGCTAAACGCGATGCCTTTTCAGCTTCACCAGGAAAAAGAAGAGGAGTTAAATTGAAAGAACCTTGACAGGGGTCTCGAGTAGATACAACGTTTGTTTATCGACATTTTTGCAGATGTGATTCTGTTGCTATTTGTGCACAGGTAGGATTTGCATTTAAATGAATGAGCCATATCCACAGAGGGATTAAAAACAACTAAGTGGATATTGAGTTTGATGGAGCTCTGGGTGGTTTTTGCCAGTCGAGTTTTAAACGTTGCATACATTGCACTTATCGATCAGTGGCGAGGCGTGAATGTATCGAGTATTGATATTTCCCCATTGGAAACTATGGTAAAGAATCGATTAGTAAGGTGTTCGCCGCGAACACCCTGATTATCGATCCTTTTCTACATATAGGTGTAAATGGTAGATCAATCGATTTATTACAAAACACGCCAGGCCACTGTTATCGATGGCCAAACTCCGAAACTGCGAGACCACCGTTTGCGACGTTATACTTGCCCTGTGGCTCTTTGGTGTTTCCTAAAGCAACTAGTCCACGAAATTTCTCGCAAACCTTTTAATGTTTCTTCTCCGCAAGCAGAATATTCTGTAAAAATTTCCGGAGCGGACATTTGAAACACTGCAATACGTGGTTTCAAACTTACGTCATCGAGATGTGTATTTTCTAAACTCTCATTGTAAATGTAACTGGTATGCTCAGCGCTGTCAAAGTTTTTAACATCGCAGGCGAAATAGATGATTTTAATAGACACAATTGAAAAGGTTCTCGGAGGATCAAAACATTTTCATTAAAATGCCTGTTTCGCAATCTTCATGTGTGATAACCGATGTGTGACAATACGCAATAAGATTGCGAGGAGTTGGCACTATGCCAAACTTTCGCCTGCAGATTTTTTTTTCTTTCCAAATGTACTGACGAGAATTATTCTGAATTCCAGGTGAACACTTTGTGCTCATTGGTGCACTGAATGCCTTCGTACATGTCGTAATGTACTCTTATTACTTTTTAGCAGCTCTAGGACCAAGCGTGCAAAAGTATCTTTTTTGGAAAAGATACATCACAAAACTTCAAATTGTAAGCTCTATTTACAAATTAGCTTCTTTACTTCAGTTTTTAAATTCTAGTTCGCTCAATATGTTTTCATAATTTTTCTTCAAAAAAGGAAAGAAAGGAGGAGATAATGATAATCATCATGCTAATAGCTACATTACTAACACGTAGCTTTGTCTACGACGTTGTGGATTTCTCGTTTCATTTCAAGTCTAAAAATGAACGACTTATAAAGACATATTAACTAACGTCATTTCTGAAATTTCTCTAGAATTTTTTTAATACCGAGCAAAAGATGTTTTGCATATATAAATAACGCAGTTGCCGTGTTCTTTTCATCCTAATTGGAGCTTGGGGGGCTTGCAAACTCTAGAAAACACAATTCAAAAAGAAGGAATAAAATATTATTTAAAAACGACCACGCCAAAAATGAAAAAAATTCTAAATTGTTAAAAGAAATAGCAATTTCACACTCTCTGTTGATACACAAGGGGACGAAACAGCCAGCAAAATTCGTATTGTATGAGCGGCTGGGGTCCTTAAGGTTAATTATCACATGTCCATTGACACTGCCTTTGTACTTCTGTTCTAGGTTCAGTTCCTGATGGTACTGGCATACTTCTGTGCTTTGATATGGTTTCGATGTGGAATCCAACGCTCGCTCGCCATCTACTGCGGACTCAACGTTTTCTTTTTCCTCATTCTTTTCCTCAATTTTTACTCGAACGCTTACAACAAAAAAAGAGGAGTCCGAGCGGGTCGGAAAAAAAGCCATTAAGCATACTTCCGTTTTTTAATCGCTGTCAATTCATTCAACTGCACAGAAAAAATTAAATTGCTGATGTAACAATTCAATTGAGAGAAAAAGTGATGACAATTTTTCAATGTAGATTTTACAACAAAAAAATGCTACTTTAACCACACCGTGGTTAAATTAGCTTACAATAGTGGTTACAGTAGCACTATATTGTTGTAAAATCTACGTTTAAACATTGCAGTTACTTTTTTAGCGATTCAATTGTTTATTCAGCAATTCAATTTTTTCCTTGTGTATAAAGAGAACTTTGGCTGAGAGTTCGGCTTACGTTCTTCTATTGAGAAGTTCTGGAACGTGTAAAATATCATTTTCCACAGGGTGCAGTTTCATTGGTAATGATTGAAGATTGAACTAATAGATGAAAAAAACCGTCGAAAAACTTATCTTACATTGAAGGGGAAAATGTGTCTTTGATACAGAGTCGTTTCTTTAAAATTCAATTTAAAACATTTTTTTACCATTTTTCAGTACGAAACTGAATTGTGTAAGATTTGAGTACAAATCAAATGAGTTTTGATACTAAGCTCGAAACTTCTAAATGGGTTGGGTCCGATGCTGTGTTGTCAGTTCATCAACCTGGGCTCAGCCGTCAAATTGATGGAACGCGATGATCATACAGGACCTTGACATTTTTTTCACCAATACTATTCCCTCCTAAACTCTTTCAATATTATCTATCAAAGAATTGCCGTTTTTGATACGTATGACGTATTGGTGCGTTAAGATTGAACGTCAACGAAACGATGGTTATGTTCGCAACCGAGAGGCTCGGGTGTAAAAACACCTTCGGATAGTTCTGAACCTTGGAATAGAATTTGGTTTCGATCGGCTATGGAGCGTTGATAGACGGTGAGTGAGTTCAAAAATTGAGAGGATCGTAATTCAAAAATTGAAATTTAAGCTGCTTTTCTTAAAAGTGAGGCCACTGAAGTCCAGAAGTTATTCTGGATTATCTTTTAATAAACCTTCGTTTTGAAGAAGAGGGGAAGGGCTTTAGTCCCTGGTTATAACTCGTGCCACCGTTATGAGAGTGTCTCGGTTTGTGTGGTTTACGTTCAACTGAGGACTACATTTTACAACTAGGAACTACAATTTCAGGCTCAGATGTAAAAACACTTATGTTCATAGGAAACCTGATGGCACGCACGTCGTTTCTAAACTCAACCAGACATTGTAGTTCCTAATAGAAAAATGTTTTCTAAATAATAATGATAAACTATCATGAGACTACTTAAGTCATTATAAGTCTGTGCTGTCACAGGGGTTAACACCGGTAACAATATGTATATACCCGGCATAGTTCTTGCTTTGATATTTATTTTGAAAATGTGTATTTATTTTTAGTTCCTAGTCGATGAATGGGTTGATGTCATCTAGGCACATCCCAGGTGTTTGTTTAGTTTTTTACCTTGTTTGATTTAATTTTGTTGCCTTAAGTCAATTGTCATGCTATTTTTATACTTATATTACTTTTGTAATAAAGAGACAAAATTTGAGTGCAATCACTCATTCAGAGATGAAACTTTTTTCGTTAAATTTTCAGATTCTCAGCGATTATCCGAATGAGGAAATAATAATTACGTAACAAAAAGATGAGGAATGTATTTATATATGTCTTATACACCATATCTTTCATGAAGTAAAAAAAAAAATTTTCATTCTAGGAACAACTTTTATCAAAATAAAATGTGCACGATTGATCTAAGAACCCGGTCATTGCTGAGTGAGCTTCAATTTGAATATAAAAATAACGCAGATATAGTAAATATTTTTACAGTAAGATACGTAAGTCTTTCTCAATTTCCATTCTTTTAAAGATGTTCAAGTGTTGACGAGTGAAATTTTCTATTGAGCATTGACTCCGCATAGGAATGAAGTAATCTGTCTAACTTTCTGTTACGGGAAAAACACCAAATTTTACGCTGGTAAAACTGCGCGCACAAACGTATTGGTATATAGCTTAAAGATAGACCCAATACATTACTGCTGTGCTATGAAAAAACGCCATATGAACATTCGAGAGTTGCCAAAATTCCTCGGATAAAATGTTTATTTTTGAGGAAAATTATGAATACTCCTTCCGTGAAATTGTCAGACACTTTAGATCAAATTACTAACAAAATTATCCGCGAAATTGGCGGGAAAATATTCATAAGTTTACCAGGAAATTCGTGTTTTATCAAAGGAAATTCGGCCACGCCTGAAGGTTCATACGGCGTTTTTCCTTAGCACGACAGATTAGCTCAATAGAATCTGGGAGACATTCCGCGCAAACAATGCATATCTCGGTTGCGGTGTTGAAAAATCTCTGCTCCTGATTTATTTTTAAGAGGGAGACCAAACCAGAACATGGCTTGACATTTTCACAGAGAGTATTTACACAGAAAAGAGTAATCACTGAAGTTTTTTATAAAATTACATTCAGTAGTTTTTCAAGTGAAAAAAAGTACGACGGGAAGTCTGCAACGCCTCAAACTGAGATGCACATTCCTGTAGTTTCACCATCAATTAGAAAAAACGACAAACATTTTTCACAACATGTTGAATTCTTTATTTTCTTAGATGAATTCAACTATTTCACTCGCCAATTGCCTAAGCTAGTTTCACGTTTTATTTTTGAAAATAAAACTACGCAAGATATCGTGTTAGGTATTTTTGTGAATACTCTCCAAATTGTGAAAAATTACTAATAGAGGGTTAAGGTGGAATTCTGCTCAGATTTCTTGTGTGAAAATAAAATATGAAAGAAAATGAGGCGGCATGTTATATGTTCTAGCTAATTGTGGTTAAAGTTTTCCGTTCGACGAGAAAATTAAACATAGGTACCTACTTGAAAGATTCTACAACAGTTTTTCATTCAAATCTCCGCCTGCCTACTCCTTATCTGCCCATAAGGCATAGTTAAGCTGAAAAGTCAGCATATTTTTTCATTTAAACCCTATGAAATATCCACATTTTATCATACAATCTGGCAAATTTGCTTTAATCTCAGGGAAAATGCAACTTACCGCTAAGCCCTGACAGTTTAGGTAATATAGCGCCAACTACAACTAAAGACAGTAGGACTGAGCCCCACAGCCTGTACGGCTGGACCCTAGATCTGTAGGGCTCAGCACTACTGTCTGCAGTTGGAGCTGTTTACCTAAACTGTTGGGGCTCAGCAACAAGTTGTTTTTTTTTTTTTTTTTTTTTTTTTTTTTTTTTTTTTGTTTTTTTTTGGTTCATTTATTCATACTTAACAGTATACAAATAAATACAGGATTTTTCGACCACTGCGTCATGCATCTCTGCCTATTTCTAGTACTAAAGTACTTATCTACATATTACTCAGATTAATGATTAATGATTGATCTACTTGATAATTCTGAAATTATAACTCTTAATCTAACGCCTAGATCTAGTCTGTCCTACGACCGACAGGATTTACGAAGCATACAACTTAGGTCTAAACTCAAGATGTAAAATTTAAGTTCACTTCATTTATTTATACAAGGTTACCTGCAAAAGCTATTAAGCGCCAAGTTGTTTTTCCCGTGCTGTTTTAGTCGTGCCGCTCTAGAAAGAATTTTTTGAACGTAGAAAAATTCATCGGGACTCAATTGAATTTTTACACGTAGCAAGTACGAGTATTTTTGAACTCAACATTCAGAGTAGTGCGCAAGTTTGTTAAAAATCCGATGGTATTACTAATTCTCTAAAAAAAACAATAGCTCCTAACTCCAACAAAACACCAATGTAAAATGACGCCTTAAGCTGAAATATTATTGCTAAAAAATTAATAGTAGCTAATCCAGTTCATTGGTTGGCCAGGCACGTTTATTTGTTTTTTTCTTCAATCATCGATGATTCATTTATCTTTGTCTCAATTCGTACTTGATTCCTCTTTTTGTATGACTCGATGTAAAATTTGGCGAAAAGGATGAGGTTAAAGAGAATATTTGCTAACAGCCAATACGCAAGTGCGGTTGAAACCAGGCATCCTTTCCATAATAAAGGAATCATCAAAGTGATTCCGACCACGAATTGAGCCTGTTAAAAGAAGAGAAAGGTAAACACTGATAATGTATGAGGCAGACAAGCAACGTTTTTTTAAAGGCATATAAAAAATACCCCCCCCCCAAAAAAAAAAATTGATAAATAAATAAATAAATAAATAAATAAAAAAGCATAAATAATTTAATTCATCTAGTTCAAATTTTCTTAATGCCTAGCTATACTTTCCGAAGAAATTCAAAATCCCTGCTCATAAGAAATACTTGAGTCAAACGCACACTGAACGTTAAGCGAACAGTTTTGCTACCGCACGTTGTTTACACTTCGGAACTTTGATCTACATGAGACGGGAAAAGAGGAAGCGCAACGTTCGAGGCGCGCAATGCGTGAGGTATCCACGCAGTCTTGCAGGCACTGACGGCGCGCACCATGGAGTGCGCGCAATGCGTGGAGTATTCATGCAGCCTTGCAGGCGCTAACATACGTTCTTCCCCGACCGCAGTGTTCAAAGCGATCGTACAGAATCGCGCAGCGTTTTTCAACTTGTGATTTGTGAAGGGCTCGACAATTCATGTCCCTGAAAGTGTGACATACGCTTTTCTTGAAATTTATGAATCCGATTTTTTAATATCCATAGTCATAATGAGGTGCACTTGATGGGGCTAAAATTTTCTCGTGTGTACCATGTACCAAGAGAAGTACTTTAAACGTACTGAACGGGAAAGTGTGGTTTGCAAATTGAACTTACGAGTATGAGTTGAGTTATGTATTTTTTCCACCATAGATACTTGCGCACAGATGGTCCGAAAGCTGCCAAGAAGAAGTATGAGTTCATGAAACAGCGAGCGAAAGCATTCAATGCAGCTATCAGCACAATGTATCCATCTGAAAATTGAGGTTTTTATCAGGGCGGTCACTGACTTTCAAGTAGCACTATGGTGTTTTATTTTATGCTATCCAAAATAGCTCCGCTAGTAAGCAGCAAAATCTAGATTAATTTTGACATCTTAATCTTCCATACATTAAGTTTTGAAGAAAAATAATTCTGTTCTGTAAATCGCAAAAATACTCTTTCTGCCACATTAGGGGTTTTAAATTAAAGGTCGCTCCGTAAATCTCTGTCTAAAGGCTTATTTATTTTCAATTCTGAATGATCAACCCTCCCCCCCCCTTATTTCTCTCTTTCTCTCCCGCCCTCCCTCCCTCTCTCCCTTTCTTCCAATTTCAAATTTACTGCTTGTCTCTACATCAATGATTAAAAAGAGTAAACTTTTACGGGCAAAAGGTATTTCAATATTATTTTTTACCCCTTTGAATCTGAAAGATTCTTGCGATTTTTGTATAGTTTTTACACTTCAATCATTTTGTTTTCTGAAGCAACTCAGGTCAGTCATGACCTAATTGCTATACTGCCGTGCAATAGAAGAATGCCTCGAAGTCGAAATGCCTGAACAGTTAAGAGTTGCCAAATTTCCCCGAATAAAACATGTATTTTTGAAGAAAGTTGTGCATATTTCTCCTTAAAATTTAAGGGGGAACAAAATTGTCTGAAAAATTGGAATAAAAATATTCAGAATTGTCCTAGTAAATTCTTTTTTATCGAAGGAAATATGACAACGCCTCAATGCTCATACGGCTCTCTTCCTTAGCACGACAGTATACAGTTTCTATTCGGGTTTAGTTCAATTTTCAATTTCTAATTTTTAAAGTGCAATGACTAAAGATTATTCAGACTGATTTTTCGGAACTGATACATCAAGAGGATACTTAATTTAGTGCTTTGCAAAATTGTCCTGTCTCTGGTATGGACTTACCAGACAAATATTTCAGGTGAATCCATGCTGTGAAAACCGCTGAGATATGGTGAAGGACGAGAACAAATGTAATCTGAGATTTTGTCTTTCTTGAGATGTAGAATATCTGCAGAAAAAAAGGAATGTTAATATTAAAATATACATTCTTCAGCTTATAAAACACAGTTCACCATTTATTTCATATTTTTCAAACGTATATCGAAGCACACAACTCCGTGAGTATGCCCTCACACATTTTGATGGTTCAAAAATATCAGTCAATTCAGCATTTTGATTAATTAAAATTAATGATTAGATGGACCGCATTTAGCGGAGAGGAACTAGGTCACATCGGTCATCACCAAATTGTATTGAAAGGTTTATCTGTAAATTAAATTAAATTAAATTGTGTTAAAGGTTTGTATTGAAAGGTTTGGATTTCTTGGTGTCGATTTAAGTTAAAAATTTCCGTACGTTCTGATTCCGATGAAATAATTTCAAAATTTTGACATAAACCCTGACTTTTGAAGTACGGACCCCCCCGTTACCCCCCAAGGGGCGCCAAGGGGGCTCCGGAACCATGAAATTCGGATTCCTTGGGGTCGATTCCCTATTCAGCCCCGCGATCCTGGACTTCGTGCGACCCAAATTAACCGAAAAAAAGGCCTGGTACGGTAGGTCTGGGCCACCCTGTATATGTAACAAATATTTTCATTTTTCACATTTCAGAAAGCCCAAACAATGGTTTAAATGCCTCCAAGTAGCAAGAGTTCAATATATTTGTATAATAGAAGTTGACTGCCGAAATGAAATGAAATTTAATTCCAACATGAACATTAATTTTCTTGCATTTGAGCTCTTACCGTATCCAATAGATCGAAGACTTTAGACATGAGGAAGTACCAGCCGTAATAGCTGATCTGAAAGAATTAATAAAACTTTTATTATTGATGGTAATCCTGCTAAAAATGGTGCTCATAGGTCTACTTGTAATTAGCCAACGTAAGTGTATAGTGGCAGAGATTCCGCTCAATTCAATATTTATTCATATTATTAATTAAACTTTTCTTTTCATTTTCTAAGAGTGCTAAGTATTCCTGATCAGAAACCTCCCTGGTAAAAATTGGCAGTAGAATCTATGTTCCAAAATACCATAGACCTACAGCCGGCTGTAAGATTTCCAATAGCTTCTATAGCCGGCTACACAATTTCTTATATCCTTTTATAACCGATGGCGATTAAGCAACAGCCTGGCGATAAAGTGTATGCTAAACGTTACTAATTACGGATGCTAGGACTTAGTGAGTTTTTGGACTACCGCTCTCTTTTCAGGCCGTAGTATCTCGATTTATTTTGCGAGGAAAGCTCCGTACTTTTGATGGATGCCTGCCATTCCTAATATATTAGAGCGCCTTCAATTTCGTATGATACTGTGCAATTCCTCTGGTGTGAAATAGTTACTTCAAGCGTCGTGGCACGCTGCGGCGCAGCGGGCGGGCGGCCAGCGCGAATCGCGCATTGGCGCCTACAAACCGAACAGGGATACTTCATGCGTTGCGCAATGCGTGAAGTATCCCTGTTAGGTTTGTAGGCGCCAGTGCGTCGCCGCTTCGCTTTGTGTTAGGCTCTAATATTTAATCTGGCGGAGTCAGGGTTTTTCAACTCATGATTTTGAAATGTTTGCACGCTCTATATGGATTATTCTCATTTTAATTGATTAAAAAAATATGTATTACAGGAAAATATAATGTGTGTTTTGTAAATATTAAGGTGGTTCCGTATCAAACTTAATGATTTTCAAATTAAACGAATTTCTACACAATTTCTTATAGCCTTTCATAGCAGATGGCGATAAGGTGTATAATCCGGCGATAGGAACTATAGCCCGCCTTCATAATTTTTTATCACTTCGTATAGCCCGGCTCTATGATTTTCTCCGCTTTCTACAGCCAGCTACATGATTTTCTATCGCCTCCTTTAGCCGGCTATAAGAATTCTTATAGTATTTTGAAACGCAGAGCTCCTATCGCCAATTTTTACCAGCGGGCCGAATATTGAAATTGATAGACAAAGCTATAGACAAAGATGACAAAAGCTATATGGAGGGAACCTATTGGTGGAAGCTGGTGGTTACAATGGACAAAGGCAGTAGGAATAGACTACTAGCGGCAACCCACAAGAAACCCGACAGTTAGTCTATCATTTTCTCCCTTAGTCTATAAGAACCACACATTTCAACCGATAGGATCGCTCCATACCCCCCATGTCTTCTTTGTCTATGGCTTTGTCTATCAATTTCAATAATCAGTCCGCAGGGCTGATAAAAATGAATCGTCCCCGAGGACAAAATTAAAAGGACGTTAGTTCCGAAGATCCTAAACACCCCAGATTCAACGCCTATCTAAATTCCTAATTATATCAGTTGCGCCTCATATCAATTAGCCTAAAAAGAGTAGAGAGATTAAACTGATTCACTTGATTTGTTTTCTCGCACAGACGCGACAGTTTGTAAAGGGGATTTCTTTGACATGTGAGCTATCAAAAGAAGGAATAATTTGCAGAAAAATTAACAGTTGAATTGATAGGACTTCACTTAAACTGATATGAGTACAATAATAACTAAATGTGTTAAATGGAAAGTGACACTTCAGCATTCTGGCAATTAAAGAAATATTGAAGTGTAGGTACTTAATTATTTGGTATGTTAGTATCTCAATAACAAAACGAGGCAATACGTTGCATGCATATTTCGGCAAAGGGCTTCTTTTTCCATGTGTTAATTTTTTCCATGTATGCACTGCAAGTTTTGATGGATCACACTGTTAAGATTCAAGAAAGGCTTTTTTTTTGAAGAGGGATGCGTGAGCAGCTGATACGCTTTTCACCAAGCACTGTCGTCAGTATATTTTCTGACGAATTCACATATGTAGAGTTGAATAAGACTTACAGTATTGTATAGCGGATTGTCTTCTCTTCCAAGGGGCCGGCAAATTTGTTTTTGTAAGTGAGAGAAACATCCGGGAAGTGTAAGTAGCTGGAATATTTAAGAAGAAAAAACGATAAGTAAATTAATGAAAAAATTTCTAAAATGTCAAAAATTATTTTTTTATATTTCTCATTGCATTCGAAAAATGTGTCTCACAATTTCTTTTGATATGAGATACCATACTATGTCACTGTCCATGAAAATTGGGGGTAAAAACTTGGAGTGGAGATATCGGCACCAATGATCAGAGGAATGATATGCAAGCATTTTGACAGAAAAAATACAAAATTCTGAGGTAATAATGATAGATAATTCACGATTTTAAGTATAGTTGTTTCGAGATTCAGCTCTTTGAAATTTTACTTTAGAACGTTCCAGGTTTATATTTTCGGATTAATAGGACCTTCACTCTCCGCCACAAAACTGAAAATTATTTTATGACAGGCAAAAATTAAAATCTAATTTTATCGCCTTATTTGTAGAATATTTAGCTAAGGCTCTTTTAAACCTACCAACCACACGAACCATCCGTTCAACATCACTTGAATAAAATTGTACGCTAATGCGAAACCCTTCAGCTTCAGAGGCTTCCTACTCTCCACGAATCCGGGACCCAATTTCAGACAGAGAAAAGCGTATACANCTGCAGATCATTGGAACAATGACGGATCATTAGTCTGAAATTTTTCAAGGACTCATTCTCATCAACTAATTTTGAATACCTTTTTCTAGATGATGTTGTGAGCGGTTGGTTTCTGATGGACAGTTTCTGGCCGGTTTAGTCCAGGTTCTTATGTTCAAAAAAAGCTTCCCGTGGAACGGTAAGTGAAGCAAGTGTGGAAAATATCTTAATCTCTTCATTTCGATGCGTAAAAAAAGAATTTCGATGTTGTCAAGCTCAATTTTGCGTCTAACCCCCCAAAATCAAGATGGCGGCCAAAATGGGGGCTCGGGGGATGAAAATTATGGAATTTGATTTTGATGTCATGATTGGGGTCAATTCTTATGTAATTTTGGTCGTAGAATCCGAATTTGAGGTCCAAAATACTCTCCGACCCAAAGGGATGCCCCAAATCCAAGATGGCCGCCAAAATCTCCAAGATAGGGTCAAAACTGCGATACGTATGTAAAAGTGCCAAGTAGGGTGTCCTTGGTAGGGTTCTTTGGGTCGTAGATTTCACCTATGATGTCAAAAACTTACCACGGATCCATTGAAGCCCAAAAAAATCAAAATGGCGGCAAAAAAGGGCTGCCGTTGCGGGGTGAAATATTTTGTTGAGGCAAATATCGTCGAATGAGGTGTCACTGAATAGGTTTTTTGGGTCGTAGATTCCAAAAATGAGGTCCAAATAACAAAATGAGCTGATAGAAGTTCTCCAAAAGCCAAAATGGCGGCCATAATGGCTGCCGCCCAGGCTTGAACGCGTTTAAACAGTAGGGTGTCCCATTTTGGACGTTACAAAAAAAAAAAATTGCGAAATCCAACAGAGATACCTGCCAAAAAGTTGTCTCATAGTTAGAAAAAAAGCACAAAAAAATCTCAGGGTCGTAGCTAAAGTTTGAGTGGTCCCGCAAGGTACTTAAGATGTTTCACCGATTTCTCATCTTGGCAATCTTGGCGATCTTGCAGATTTTTTTTTCGGTAAATGCAATCCAGGTAAAAAGTCGCAAATGCGGATAATGAGACTTTTGATACTATATTTTAAGAGAAAAATAACGGTTTGGACCCACGAGAATCAGAATCCCTCGTTCTTAGCTTTCAAAACGCAAAAATCAGCGATTTTAGCATTTTTTAGTCAAACCGCTGCTCGACCGTCGCTCGACTTAAATGTCGCGGCATTTGACGCGCTGTTTCACAATGATCCCATTGTAGGAGTAAAAAGTCCTTCAAATGTGTTCATTAGAGGTGTAAGAGGGTCACTTTGGCCAATTTTTGTTGCTTTTAAACATTGAGCTCATTGTTTAAAATGTTTTTTGTTTTTTGTTTTATGCTTTCTTTGTTAGTATAATTTTCCTGTTTTTCATCATTTTTTAAAATAGTTTAAAAAGGGCGACTCATCTTACACCAAAATTGAACTCCTTGGCGAACAATGTACGTAGATGGTCAAATACTTCCTCTAAAAAAGTTTTTGGATTCAAAGCCTCCCAAAAAAGCTGATGTTGCCATATTTTATCCCCGGAAAACACAAAAAACCGAGTACCTATTTCAGTATTTGGAGGCTGTTCCTCACCGAGCTCATTGAGCAAATTTCAGCAAACCTTGAATTTTCATACATTATGACCACATTACTAGTGATTATGTACATGTGTTTATCCATACAGCCTCCCACCGCGGCGCGACGTTGCCACATACCATCGATAAAATTCGATAGAAATCCGCGTTTCCTTAGATTTGAGCCATTTTTTCGGATATTGCACATGGAATACTTATGTAAAACTTAACATGCAGTGTTCAGAGATGGAAGGGGATCATACCTTGTGGCAATAATCATTATTTTAAGATCCTGCGCTTATTGACGACCCATTTCTTACGAATTCTAAGCATGATGTTTGTGATGTCTCCTAATCTTAGGGAGTACAAACTCCTTGAAGGACTTTGGGAGGGTAGAGGAATTTCCACTTTGCGTTTTGAGAAAAAAATGGGGAAATTACGAGGCAGCATTCTTAGCAATTGGTATCCGTCCAAAAGGACGGGGGTGGAGGGGAGGGCTAGGTTTAAGGGTGGACAAAAATTCAGCATTGAGAACCTGTGTTTTTGAAATGTGGCACTGTTTCTTTTTGGTCCTCAGATCACGGTCAATGTTTGAAAGTCGCATCGTCGTGCACAAACATCATGACTAGAAATCGTAAGAAATGGGTCGTCAATGAGCGCAGGGTCTTAAAATAATGGATATTGGCACAAGGTATGATCCCCTTCTATCTCCATGGAAAAAACGAGTTTAGGGTTGACCTGCGGGGCAGGGCCGGCCCTACACCCGGAGTAGGTAAAATTGCTTCACCTAAACATCGAAGGGGCAGGCCCATGCTGAAGTTAAGGTTCACCCCTACCTGCCTCAGGGCCCAGTCCTACCTGAGGCGGGGCCGAGCACTAACAATATAGGGCTGGGCCCTGGAGAAGGTAGGACTGGGTCCTGAAGAAGGTAGGGCTGGACCCTGCAATGCGGGAAGGGCCGGGCCCCCTAAAAAATAATTCGAGGATGTTACTCTACTTGTACGAGCATATTTAGCGCGCTCTATGCACTGTTCTATGAAGTACTCACACATTGCCGGTAATTTCGTCTTTTTTTACCAATTTTTGACATTTTTTTGGCCTATTTGAATTTTTGTAGGCCCTTAACCGTCCGATAGCAATTGAAAAAAGTATATCAACCAAAAGTATATATCTTAAGCTTGAAGTATAAAACAAAAAAATCGAAAATCGGAGAGACTGTATTTTGGATAATTCAGTTTGAACATTGAATG